TAAAGGACAGCATATGTGGTTTCCTCTCTCAAGAGTGTTGGGCGGGCCTAAATTAGAACAGGTGAAATGAACGGATATCCCTGGTTTTCTTGCATCACTCTGCCAGCCAGCAACCTTAAGCGTCTGCCATGCAGCTGCTGATGGACAGTGTCTCTCGGGGTCCCTCGCTGGGGTGGGGTTGTGTGTGTGTGTGTGCAGGGCTCGCCTTGCTTGGCCTGCTTAGTCTCCATAACACCGGCTCCAGCGTCCTCATAGTTACTAGATTCGACAATCTATTCTCTGACCTCTGACCCGTGAAGTCAGGGCCTTTGAGGTAGGCGGAGTTGAGACCCCAAAATGAGAGTGGAGATGTGACCGTGGACAGATAGACTCATGGGGCCCGGGGTGTCCCCTGCGCGGCCATGGCGGGGACAGTAGTAGGCACAGCGTTTTGGTGACGGCCGCGGTGGCTCCTCCTCCCCCAGGAGGTTCCTCTGCATCAATCAGCCGCTCTGCTCCACCTCAGCTCTGACCTGGTTTTTCCAGAAGGTTCAATGGAAACAGCTGTCGGGGCAGCCCTGGGGGTGGGAAAAGGACTTTGCTGAGAAGATGGTTCAGGCTCCAGCTGCTCCATGTGGCCTTGGTCCCCTCAAGACCCGTGGAGGCCCTGGAGTCGGGGAGGTGGGAGTCAGGGACACTCGGTGCTTCCTGAGCTCGGCAGGCATGGAGGCAGCTTCACCTCCGAGAAATCCACAGTGATGTCCTCCTGAACCTGGTTTCCGGTTTTTCTCTCTCCACCTGACAACATATTCGAACTCCAGGTTCTCTGCACTGGTTTCTATAGAAACTCAGAGCTGTTATGGGCGAGAGCACGGACGTATCTCATGATACCCTGGAGGGACCGGGTGATACTGGCTTGTTTTGTTTTAAATTTAGGCACAAGGTCTCTCTGTCCCAGGCTTGTCCTAAGCTCACCGTGTAGCCCAGGATGACGTTAAACTCCTGACCCTCCTTCTCCCGAGGGACAGAGTTCAGGTGTGTGCTCGCACACCCAGTGTGTGTGGTTCTGAGATCGAACCCTGGGCTAGGCACACGAGACAGACATTCCATCAACCGATTCCATCCTAACCCCACTGAGGCGTTTTTTAAAGTCCAAGGCTCCATTCCCAGAATTAAGAGTAATTATGTGTGGGAAATGGATGAGTTGGCAATCTCATACATACAGGTGTGTATGCCAGACTTCATAGCATTCTCTGAAGGTTTAGAAGAGTGGACATGGTGTGTGTGTGTGTGTGTGTGTGTGTGTGTGTGTGTGTGTGTGTATACAAGTGTATGTGTGCGTGCGTGTGTGTGTGTGTGTGTGTGTGTGTGTGTGTGTGTGTGTGTGTGTGAATGTGGAGGCCCGAAGATGAGGTCAGGCACAGTCCTGGACTGGTCCTCATTTTAGTGAGGCGTGTCTTCCATTGAACACAGGCTCCCTGCTTCCAGCTCTAGCCCAGCTGTCCTGGGAAGTTCCATGTTTCTGCCTCGCTCTGGCATTGTGGCATACCTGCCCCGTTTTGAACATGAATGCTGATGATCCAAACTCCAGCCCTCACATTCACACGGAAGCGCTTTATACAGAGTTCCCATTCCCCAGCCTGACATTGGGTGTCTTATAACTCATTATAACACGTGTTTTTAGAAAATTTGCATCTGAAACTCTGTCGTCATTTCCTGCCAGTCGTATGTGTGAAGGTTGTTTATACTGAGAACACAGACTGGGGTTTACACAATTGATAAGAGAGAGATTTAAAATATGGGCTGGATCCTGCCTCATCCAGCCTTCATAGAAGAGGAGGTGCCCGGTGTCACTGCAGCTTGACTGGTGGATGATACCATGGGAGGCCCCTCCGGATCTGAAGAGGAACAGTGGAGGTGTGGATGGGGGAGGGGGAGAAGAGGGGAGGTCGGGTTAACTGGGTGGAGGGGATTGAGGGGAAACTTTGGTTGGAAGTAAAATAAAATGTGGGCTAGAGAGATGAAGAACACTCACACTGGATGCTCACAACTTCTAATTCCAGCTCTGGTGATTGATGCCTCTGGCCTCCAAAGGTACCTACCTATACTCATGTGCACATGCTCACAGACAGTCACACACACACACACACACACACACACACACACACACACGCACACGCACACACAAATTAAAAGTAAATCTTTTAAAATTGATTTCTTGTATTTGGGAAAGTTAAAATTTGAGCCAGAGTTAGGCAAAAGAAGAAAAAGTTAAAACACACAAGTGGAAACTGGATGTGAAAAGGCTGTGGCTGAGTCCGTGAGACATCACATGTGTCCAAACCTACCAGTGACATACAGCTTTACAAACGAAGACTTCACAGTGGCACGAGCCGTTCTGCGCCACAGCAAACAGTTCTGATAGTCGTGGCTGCCGAGCTTCTCACCACTGTTTCCCCTTTATCTGTGCTGCAGATTATGAGTCCATTTCCATTAAGGTAGTAAACACCACCTTATTAGGCCACAGCAATATGCACAATACCATTTCTAATACGGCGTGACTCCCATACGCCTTGATGACAGAGGATTTGACTCTTCAGCCAGGGTGACTGAAGCTATTGATTGTGTGGTGTGTAAACACTGGATGTCAGTGTCTCTGTGCTCGTGGGCCCCGTTCATCCGTGACGGTCAGATCCACTGACAGGAGAGCAGGAGCGTGCCCGGCTGTTGTTAAAGCAGCCAACACTGGAGTGAGGCTGCCTCTAGACTCAGAAGACTCAGGGAGGGGATTTGCGGGGTTTGCTGTGTTTTGATGGAGGACTCTTCAGATGACCTGAGGTTGTCATGAGTATTGTATTTCTTTAAGAAAAGTAACCCATGTGTGCTAACCAGGGCCTTGGGGATGGCTTCCGTTAAAGACGGGCAGAGGAATTTTGGTGGAATGTGTGTTCCCCTTGAACAAGGACAGAATGTGATAAATGCATCCAGAGACCTGAGGTCAGTTTCAGGTGTTGTTTTATAGGAGGTGTCCAGTTTTGTTTTTTTCTTTTTGAGTAAAAGTAATACTGAGATTGGGTGTGAAATCCATCCTGAGATGTCACTTATTGAGCTGAGCCCAGGATGAAAACATGCCATGTAAATAGGGTGTGTGTGTGTGTGTGTGTGCGTGTGTGTGTGTGTGCATGTGTGTGTGCGTGTGTGTGTGTGTGCACGTGTGTGTGTGTGTGTTTGTGTGTGCATGCACACAACCATGTGGAGACCAGAAGTCAAGCTCTGGCATTGTTTTACGGGGGGGGGGGGGGGGGGGGGGGGGGGGGGGGGGGGGGGGGGGGGCGGGGAGAGGGGTCCATTTTGGGGGCGGGGAGAGGGGTCCATTTTGTTTTTTGAGACAGAGTCTGTCCTTGGCAATATGGTGAGCCTGGTTGGCCAGCAATCCCCAGGGGTTGGGCAACCTCTGCCCTCTAACTGCTGGGATTACAAGCACACACCATCACGTCTGGCTTCTGGTGGTCAAACGTGGGTCCTGGTGCTTGCACCCCAAGCCCTTGAACAACTGAGCTATGTGTCCAGCACTGATTATACATTTTAGAGAGACCCCTACGAAGTTCCTTTATAATGCTTTCTTACTGTGGGATGGTCTGTATGTCAAATGTGTTGCTGATTGGTCAATAAATAAATCACTGATTGGCCATTGGCTAGGCAGGAAGTATAGGCGGGACAAGGAGGAAAATAGAGCTGGGAAGTGGAAGGCTGAGAGGAGACACTGCCAGCCGCCATCAGGATAAGGAAGATGTAAAGTACCGGTAAGCCACAAGCCACGTGGCAAGGTATAGATTAATAGAAATGGATTAATTTAAGCTGTAAGAACAGTTAGCAAGAAGCCTGCCACGGCCATACAGTTTGTAACCAATATAAGTCTCTGTGTTTATTTGATCGGGTTTGAGCGGCTTGGGACTGGCGGGTGAGAGAGATTTGTCCTGACTGTGGGCCAGGCAGGAAAACTCCAGCTACACTTTCTTCCTCTTTATAATAGAATGTGTGTTAAGTGTCTCATCTTCTGAACAAAGGGAAATGAAATTGGAATGCTGGGGGATGGCCTTTCTGTACGCTGTGAATATATGTTGTTTGGATTGGTTAATAAATAAGCTGCTTTGGCCTATGGTAAGGCAGGTGGGAAATCCAAGGAGAGAGATAGGAAAGAGAAAGGCAGAGTCTAGAGAGACCAGCCACCACCCAAGGAACAACATGCCAGCCGACCAGTATGTCACGGAACACGTAGCAAAACATAGATTAATAGAAATGGGTTAATGTAAGATATAAGATCTAGCTAGCAAGAGGCCTGCCATAGGCCATACAGTTTGTAAATAATATTAAGCCTTCAAGTGATTATTTTATAAGTGGCCGGGTGGGATCAGAGAAAACTTTTGACTACATTGGCATTTAACCCTTTCACTACTGCAGTTGGGCCTCTCAAGTGGTACAAGGACTTCCAGATCACACCTGTTAGACCCCTTGCTTCATGGTTGAGTTCCAGACAACTTGTCCCTGTCACTCATCTGGGGAGTGGGTGACAGCCTTTTGACATCTGTCCTCTATTTGGTCTGGCAGTTGGGCTTTTTAGCATTTGCTAAATTTATCTATGTTGATATGTGGAAAATTGCCCAGTCTTAGGGGCTGGGCAGCGGTGGCACATGCCTTTAATCCCAGCACTAGGGAGGCAGAGCCAGGCAGATCTCTGTGAGCTTGAGGCCAGCCTGGTCTACAGAGCGAGATCCAGGACAGGCACCAAAACTACACAGAGAATCCCTGTCTCGAAAAACCAAAAAAAAAAAAAAAAAGGGAAGAAAGGAAGAAAATTGTGCGGTCTTTAGTATATGGTCAGGCAGAATCCTGTGCTGGAGATGCACAGGGTGGTAATAAATGTGCATTAAGGGCACTGTTACTTCAACTTTGCCTGTAACTGAAGAGGAGGTGTCTGGTGTAAACTGACAGGCTCATGGCAGGCGTTTCTGGACTTTCAGGACAGAAGACTCCATAACAGAGGACGACAAGAGGAGGTACGTGTGCTGTCGAAGCCGGTTTCACGTGAGTGATTTTGGTCGTAGTACATGGATGTAACCCACGCTAGCACAGGACGATGACAGATTCCATCAGGTGGGATACTAGTGGGGATGTGCGGTCAGAATCTCGGCTGCGACCCAGCGAGCTCTTGCTCTGTCATGTGAGTGTGGCTCTGTCCCTGAGTCAATGACTCCCTCCCCACCTCTGCTTCATGTTCCTCTCACGCTTCCACTCTGCCCCGCTCTGCATTCCTGGGCTCTCTGTGTCATATTATATGTCTTTCCCTGTGAGGAAGTGACCTTTGAATGTCCGCATTGCCTGATGCCACAGGGATCTCAGAATTTGTATAAACGGTGACTGACACCTGTCACATGTTACTTGACACATCACTGTAGCTCACTTCTTTTCTTTCTCATTACAAGCAAAATATTTAAAAATGTCACTGACTTAATAGAGCCGTTGTTCTCAAAGCTTCCTTTTAACATAGAAAACCAAGAATCTTTTAAAAGTCCTGAGTTACCTTCGTGATCGTGTAATTGTTTGGAGTGTTCACGCTTTAGTTTCTGATGTTTCTCTCTCCTGCACCCTTTAAATTGATCTCATTTCTTTTCTTAAAGAAACTACGGCGGCGTGTACGTTGGCCTGCCCTCCGAAGCGGCCAGCATGGTATCTAGTCAAGCCAAGACAGTACGGAAAAGTAAGCAAGAGTTACGTGGGGCTTATGTCCTCAAAAAGATGTGTGTGTGTGGGTGTGGGTGTGTGTGTGTGTGCACATATGTGCATGTGTATGTATGGGTGTTTGTTTATGTGTGTTTATGGGTATATGTGTGTGTGTATGTGCGTGTGTATGTGCATGTGTATGTATGGATATGTGTTTATGTGTGTGCGTGTGTGTATGTGTGTGGCTATTGTTTATAGCTTTGTAGGAAACTATAATGAGCTTTTAAAAAGATCTAAACACTAACTGTTCTTAATTTTCTCTCGAAGATTAGAGGAAGAAAACAGGATGACTGGATATTCAAGAGGTACTGTGCATTTCCTGAATTGTCCATGTGCTTCATCTTGATGATGATGAAGGAGCTGCTTATATTTCTATGTGCATCTCACAGATGTTGCACGCCAGGGCGAGCGTCTCCTCCCATGACTGTGTTTCATCCTAAAGAGACGGACGTTAGCTCCATCTTCTTATCTACCACAGTTTCACTTCACCCTTCCACAAACACAGTGTAATTTCTTTAGTAAGAGCGAGCTGCGTGCCTGCCCAAAACACCAGGGCTCGCCAGAACGTGGGAGGGCTTAGGGCTTGAGTGACAGCTGGGAGATCTCGGTCAGAGAGTCTCTGTCTAGGAATCAGGATCCACACATGGTGTATAGCAGCAGAGTTAGAGATGTGTCCATCACCAGTTGGGATGGGCAGTCATCCTGGTCAACACGGGAGCAGGTATGTGGGGAGGGAGTCTATGGTCCCATGGCACATCATGTGTTTGGCTCTCCACTCGATGCCGCTCCTGCCAAACACATGCAGCCTCCTTTGCATCCTCCATGTCCAGTGTTGTTTCCCCGAGAGAGCCCATTACCTGTTGGATGGGCTCTTATCAGCCTCTTCCATGGGCTGGCTGAACAGGTTACCTTTCCTCCATGGCCTCAGTCTTACAATCAATAGAATGGATCTTTTGCTTAGACTTCAGGGTTGTTGTTAGGAGTAAATGAAATAAGCAGCAGCTTTTGCTTCCATCCTCTCCCTCCTCTGCTTTCTCTTCCTAATCCTTTCTCTCCCTCTTCCTCACCTCCTCCTCTTCCTTGCCTCCTCCTCTTCCCCGCCTCTTCCTCTTCCCCTCCCCCTCTTCATCTACCTCTCCTTCTAGAACCCAGACTCCAGCAGACCAGAAACAAGAGGTCTTCGATGCTGAAGCAACCTCTTTTCCAGGGTCAGTTCTGGAGTGGGTGTTTGGGAAGGGGTGGGCTGGTAGAGCAGGCTCACAGGCAGAAGTTGGGATGTTTACCTGCAGGAGGGCTGGGACACACAGCCTGCTTCTTAACGGAAGCCACAACAGCCTTGGAATCGTTCTGTGGAGAGTGGCTCAGCAGAGAGACGTCACAGAGGTCAGCCTGGAGTTCCCACTCTCAAAAATTCACCAAGGTCTTTTTTAAGTCTAGTATGCAAATAGAGCGAATCCCCTTCCCACATAGAGCTCTGGGTTTGCTGCCATTTTGCCCCAAGTAGAAGGACATGTGTGATCTGCCTCCTGTGTAAGCTGAGCTGGGGGAACACCAGCCTGTCATTTCCCTTGTAAAGGGTTTCAGAAGCGTAGAAACAGAGCAGAAGAGGTATCCCATAGTCCGAGCCCAGGAACCTGGCTATTGGAATTTTCCCAGGGGCCTGCCCTGAGAAAATCCTTCCCAGAGTCCTGGTGAAGACACTATGGTGTGGGGTTATCTGAGGGAAAAGACTCTATGTACACCAAAGCTCTTTTATCTGTTTACTTTATTTCTCTAAGACAAAATTCTATCTATACAGCTTCAGCTTCGTCCTCACATTCAGCTCCTCTCTATACCTACTGGGCCTGCCTGTCATAGACCTAACTAAGCTCCTATGCTTTCGACCTCATCTTCGTCCTCTGTTCCTTCATCCTCCATCTTTTCTTCCTTGCTCCTTACCCCTGGCTCTGAGAAACTCTGCCTTCTCTTCTCTTCAGTGGCTCTGCCTTGCCAGGAATTCTGCTCCAGTCTTTACTGCACCTGGTTATGCAAAAAGTCCTATTGTCCTGAATCAATAGCTCTTCAATGCTACTAGGCCTGAAAGCAGGGGATGGTCTGAGCTTCATTTGCACAAGAAAAAAGCTATGCATCTATAGCCCACCTGTCTTCTAGGCCCTGCAGGGATGTTACCTAGTGGATCAGCAGCAGGTCTGAGAAGCTTATTTTGTTTGCCATATGGCCTAGTAGTATATTAGCACACAAGAGTTTCATAGCAGAAGACAGCTGGTGTATATTAAAAGCCGAATAACACCAACTATTCCTTGATAAATGGCTTCCCTCTTTCAGAACTCCTTGGTTTATCAAGGTATAGCTTATTATATGCAGCTGAATCTCTATACTATATTCTTGTGACTTGCTGCACCTGGTCACCTCTGCTGCACACTGACCCCAGGTGAGCTCTGCTGGGCCTCTCAAGCTTTCTCACTGGGGAGTGAGACTTGATAGCTGATTGCCTTTGTGTGAGGGTCAGAAGTTCCCCCAGTAATAGTTTAGCAGTTGCTGTGTTGTGCCCAGATCGTGACCCCCAGAGAGACCACCAAAGACAAGCATGCCGGAATGCAAAAGTAAGGTTTAATTCTGGATATCCAAAAGCAATACAAGCCTAGGCAAGGACTTCGTCCAATACATCCAATGCAGTGGAGGCTGGAGGAAGTGCCCGCCTGTCTGCAGGCTCAGTTTTTAAAGGGAAAAATCACAGGGTTACATCATTTAGGGGTGCTAGTACCGGTAAAATTCTAATTGACTCACTTCTAGGGGCTTTCTAGAAATCATGGCTTAATCTTACTTCTAAGGGAGTGGTTGCCCACCACCATTTCTCATTGACTGCCCTCAGTTGGGGGCATTTTTATGGTCAGTTACCCTGGAAACCAGGGAGAGGACATTCCATAGTCCGGCAGACATTACCTCGTGACTACCTTGTGACTCTGTACTTTTATACTTCCTGGTTTCTGGAATCTGGACTGACTTGTTTCAGTAACTATTGGCCTATTCCTAGAAGGAGAAATCTTAGGCCTTAGTTTTTGGGTGAAAGCATTTTGTTCTTATTTCTAAGATGGCTCATTTTGGTCTTACAGCTGCTCACAGCCCACATGGCTGAACATAGTGGCTGAAATACCCCTTCGCTGCTCATGGATCCCCGTGTGTTCTTTGACCTCCTTCTGTTGTCTCTGTTCTTTGATGACGTCTCTAAGTAGTCCGTTTGATTCTGGCTTCCATTTTGCCTGGCCTTTGAATTACCTGAAAGGTCTTGACCATCCCTGCTCCTGAGTGGCTATGTGTCCATCATTCTGCTTGTCTGTGACACAACTACACCTGTGACTTTGCAGGCTAGTCATTGGGCAGAATCTTGATGGGAGGACTGTCCTCTGGGGGCTTTTGATACAAAGGGCAAGCTACACTGTTTTCGGCTAACACCACTGTCTTTCTGAATGGAATTCATGCCGTGAGCTCATGTGGCTATTTTTTGGACCAAATCAAGGAATGACTTCAGCATCTTGGTGTCACTTGCACGGTGATATGGATATGTAATTTCTCACGCACCTGACTCTCAAGTGGAAGCCACACCCACATCGCTGTGGCTTTTTCAGAGGCTCCTTCTACCCAGGAGGGAAGTGGTAGCATAGGCCCACTTTCAACTAAGCCAGCCCAAAGGAGCTTATGTGATGGCTCTCAGATGCCAGTGTGGACCAGCCCCATCAATATCCCTTGGAGAGTTTCACAGGCTCTGTGACTGGAGCCTCTCTCTAGTTTAATGCTGGGAAGGGATAGCATTATGACTGGTGATCTGTATTATGAATGTGGTGCTGATATGCACACAGCCTGGTTTGGCCATTGTTATTCTGTATTTTAATTTTCAATTGTATTTTTTATAAGTTTCCCAGCATCCAATTTTATCTCTTTATATAAATATTGCCAACATTCAGAACTATGCTGCCCAGTAATAAACCTTAAGTAGCTGTTGATTGGCTATTGAACATGCAATCTGCTTAAAAGCAAATCCAGTAGATAATTTGCAGGCTTAAGACATGTGCTTTTCTCTAAGTTGTGATATTCGAGTGTGCTGATTCTTTTCCCCCTCTTTTCTTTTTCCCTTCACAGCTTGCTCATGAATTTGGAAGGAATTTGGCTCCAGGGACATTGTATCTTCAAACAAACTCCGAAAGGCTGTCCCCTGCTGTGCCAGCTCCCCAAATCCTAAGCGTGCAGTTAAAGCCTTGGGTACATACTGGATGTTGTCAAGACTTCATGCACACTGCGGGGACTTCGTGTCATCCACCATTGAGAGCCGGAAAGGCTGTGGCTACCCGGCCTGGGCCACCAGGCAGCATAGCGTTTCCCATCCTGGCCATTCAACACAGTTCACAGAAATCATATCTTTTCACTGATACTCTTTTGATAGTTTTTATATAACACAACCCCCTTATTGTATTTATAACATGATCTTAGGGCCGCATAAAGGGATTATCTGAAGTGATATATTGCCTCGTCCTTGGATGTTTCGACTTTGTTGTTTTTTAGCTGTGAAATTGGTAAATAGAGTCTCAGAACCATCTCCCTGTCTTACTAGTTGGTTTAAAATTTTTATTTAAATGTAAGAGAATTCCCTCTGTTGAGAGCATTGCAGTATTTGGAAATGAACTGGTTAAGTTTGCACGCTATCCACAAGTGTGAATTAAATTCCCGCTTTCTTTATTCTGAAGCTTGTATGTGATCTCCATCTGCCCAGTTGTCCATTCTCCCCGTGTGTAATCAGAGCGTCTCACCATGTTGATTCCCTACTGTCTCGTAGGTCTTAGGGTTGATGTTTAGTGGGATTTCTGTAAAGTTCCTGATTTGCTGACAACATGTATACCTACTTATGACTGCTGTAAGTGACTCAGTTTACCAGTGTACTTCAACAATTAAATATTTTTATCCCCCTTTACCTGGATTTCTTAGTTATTTTCAAGAGAAGTCACATGTAATATTATCATATGTAAATACAGTACATCAGTGTGTACAGATAACACTGGTTAAATAGATTACTATGAGAAGTGGGAGTTTTTCCCTAAGTGAAAGGCTCTGTCTTCTATAGTTGGTTGATAAAGATAATTGTAGAGCCATCAAATTGCAAAACAAAATAGTAAAAATTCCTAAGAACTTGTGAGGCAAATATTCCCCTCAACGTCCACAAGCTCACCATGGCATTGGGTAGGGGGGACATCAATGTTTATGTAATTAACAATAATAGCTCCGAGGAGCCTTAGGCAGGAGAGTCAGGGGTTCAAGGCTGGCTGGCTACACAGTAAGTTTGAGACCAGAATGAACTAACTACATGAGACCCTGTCTCAAAGTCATTAAAAAATGACTTTGGAAAATTTAATTAACAAATAGCTTTAGATTGATAGACGAATGTAAGGATGGACTGGGGATACAGTTCAGTTCCAACTGAACTCCATTAGTTTTCCTAGGCCTCTTTTGTTATGTTCCAACCCCAGATTACACTATGTCCCAATTATATTGATCTATCTTTTTTTTTTTCCTTTTCGAGACAGGGTTTCTCTGTGTCGTTTTGGTGCCTGTCCTGGATCTTGCTCTGTAGACTAGGCTGGCCTTGAACTCACAGAGGTCCGCCTGGCTCTGCCTCCCGAGTGCTGGGATTCAAGGCGTGCGCCACCACCGCCTGGCTGTATTGATCTTTCTTGTTCCCTCTTCCTCTTGGTGCCATTTTCCTTGTTTTCCATGACCGCCAGCCTGTTGAAGCCTACTGTAGAGGAATTTTGGAACATGCCCCTAATGTGAATCTCTCCGTGCTCCTACATTGGACTGGGATCATAGATCTTGAGGGAGACCCCATTGAGACAGAATGGCCCCTCATCACATCACATCATGAGATCTCAGGATCCCAACTCATTACTGGTGACACTGACCTTGACCAATTGGTTGAGGGTCTCAGCTCTCCGCACCATAGTTCTTAATTTACCCTTTCCGATCCCTCTAAACCAGCTTGATGGCTGCAACCCCTTAACACAGTCCCTCATGTTGTGCTGACCCCCACCATAAAATTATTTCATTGCTACTTCATAACTGTCATTTTGTTACTGTTATGAATTGTACTGAAAATATCTGTTTTCCGACCCCTGTGAAAGGGTCATTTCAACCCCTAAAGGTTGAGAACCACTATTCTAGTGACTCATGAGTTCAGAACATGTTCAAGACAGGAGTTGTGCTCCACCCCCTGGAGGAATTTGGGGGTGTTTATTAAAAGCTTGATAGAATTTGACGATATTCTTCTCACCAGAGTTCCAGTTACTGTCTAGGTATCTGGGAGATGGTGTATCCAGTATGTACACTAAGCCGATCACCATTCAGCTTCCCTCTCCGCAGCTCCCTGCAAGAGAATCATTGATCTCTCGAATGGCTTGCACTTTGGGTCACGGAGAAGACAGCTGGTGGGGCACACCGAGGCTAGTGTAGACTCACCCGATGGTCCTTCCCCTGGGGACCCCAGCCACAGCTGTCCCACCTCATGTAGGAAAGGGGAACTTTGGGGTAATGGACTGCTGTGCAAACAAATGAGTTCACCTAGTTGCATCAGCCATGTATACATTTTGATGGATTGTGTAGTGTACACTTTATGGCTTTAGAGAGAGAAAATCTCTGCTAGAGGGGAAAAATTCCTGGTGATTGACTATTTCGGGAGAGCCACTTGGAGACTGCAGGTGTTCTGTTTCTCCTTAAAGTTTCCGTAGCTAATGTGAATACCGTCTTTGGCTCTTGTCTCCCGGGGGGTCCTGGGGATTGAACTCAGGGCTTTGTGTGTGCTAGGCAGATACACTGAGCTACACCCAAGACCCATTCTTGGGGCCTGTAGCATAGGTCCTGGGTATCCAATCCCCATTTTTTTCCTCCTCATTCCTTCAGTAGGTACTACTAGGAATTCTCTAGAGTGTTTATTTATTCATATCAATAAGAATGTATGAGTATTCTCTTGCTCTTCAGGTTGCAATGCACTAATGCCATGCTTTCTTAGTTTTGTCTAGCTTTGACCATTGGGAGTTTTTTCAGGCTAGATTCTGACATTCCCTATACTCCCCTCCCCCAACTTAGGTTGACTCTCAATAATGAGCAGTGCCACGAAATAAAGGTTTCATTCAAAAGTTAAAACTCCACCAAATCCCATTACAAATGAACACTACCTTCCATATTATGACAAGTTTTAACATTTTCCTTCCACCAGGGATCGGCTACATTTAGAGCCTCCTAAATCTTACGTGTTAATAACCCAGCCACCCACCTCCTGTGTCTTAAGGTAAATGATGAACATCTTTATAAGGTACAGTAAGAATCTGGGAGACAGAGAGGATAAACTATTAATGTGGAAGTTAAAAGGGAAGATGAAAGGGAGCTGTCTGTGCTACTTAGCTTGATCAACTAGACACAATCCAGACTCACCTGGGAAGAGGGAACCCCGACTGAGGAATTGCTTCTATTTGCTGGCCTGTGGGGGTGTTTGTGGGGGCATTTTCTTTATTAATGGTTGGTGTAGGAGGGCCTAGCCTCCCTGGGCAAGAGGTCCTGAGTTATATAAGAAGGCAGGCTGAGTAAGGCACAGAAAGCAAGCCAGAAAGCATTATTTCTCCATGGTCTCTGCCTTTGCTTCCCTGAATGATGGACCATCACTTGGATGTGTAAGATGAAGTGAAAACCCTTTCCTCCCCAGCTTGGTTTTCATCAGTATTTTATTGCAGCAAAAAAGATGTGAACTCTACACTGGTAAAGCTTAAAATGCCTGAAATGTAGGAGTTACACCTTTTCAGACAACATGATCCATTAGATTATTGGTAAAAAGATAGTGGACATGTGTGTCAGAGCGTTTCTGATTAGGAGGCTGTCGGATGAAAAAAGGACTCCTTAAGCCTTCGGAGCGAGAAGACACACATTGTCACTCGGTTGCAAAGACTGCTAAAACCTTCTAATGTCCTACAGAGGTGGTCCTCAGAGGAAGTGATGGAGGTAGGGTGTGTTCAGCAGCAGATGACTGCCTTTCAAGCTTCGTTGATTCATACACATACTATCATAGAACATGTGAATTCTGGGAGGGGAAGTGAAGGAGGAGAATCTACCACAGCGGTGTCAGAGCATCAACAAAACCACAGCAGCCATTCGGGCCTGTGGAACTGGATGAGTGGAAGAGAAAACACTAGAGACCATGCATATAAAGTTCACGCAAGGAAAGTTTTAATTTTTAAAGTTAAAGTTATTTCTGCGCGCGTGTGTGTGTGTGTGTGTGTGTGTGTGTGTGTGTGTGTGTGTGTGTGTGTATAGTGTGAGTGCTTACAGAGGCCAGAAGACAGCATCAAATCCTCTGGAACAGGAGTTACAGGCGGTTGTGAGCTGCCTAGTGTGGGTGCTGGGAACCAACCATGGGTCCTTTGGAAGAGGAGCAAGTACTTTTGACTGCTGAGTTGTGTCTGCCCTTTGGGTTTTTATTTTTAATGATGCAGGAGATAGGGTTGAAAAATGTCCCATTTCCCCTGATATCCGAGGAACAGATTTGAATGAATTTGAACATAATATACGTGATGAAACCATAAAGCTGAGGAAAATACTGGGAAATAGTCTCCTGACCTGAGGCTGAAAACAGATTTATGAGCCTGGAGCATGAGGCCCAATCCATAAGGTAAATATTGCTAGGCTTGAATATATGAAAAATGAAAACATATGTTTGAAACCTTTGCTCTACATCTGAGAACTCTCGACGTTCCTGATGACCTAAGGGCTACCCTACTCTACATCTGAGAACTCTTGGCAATGTTTGTGATGACCACAGGGCTAGCCTGCTCTACAGAGAACTCTCAGATAAAGGGCCTGAGAGTATGAGCAAAGAGTGAAAAGATGGTTCCTGAAAGGATTGTAAATGGCCTTTGAGCCTTCTGAGAGGGCTCATTCACATTAAAATGCAATGGCTGGAAGTAGCCATGATGAGGCAACTCCCCCAGTCAACATCATGTCCCCTCCCCATGTCCTGTGGCTGCCAGTATGATGGCATCATCACTACTGCATCATGAGGATGTCTGCTCCCAATGACTGTGCCTTGCCTGTGTCACTGATGAATTGGGGGTCCATGGGCAAGAGCTTCCCTTACTTATCTATTGGTTACTTTTGGGTCACTGGGACCACATATCTGACAAACCCCTGGAGGGAGGTGCTAGTTTAGCTTGTTGCTGTGATAAGATGCCCTGACAGAAAACAACCGGGGCGGCGGGGGTGGGGTGGGGGGTGCTACACTTTTACCTTCAGGTTACAGTCCATCATAGCAGAGAAGTGAGTCAGGAGCCTGGTCACCTACCCACCGTCAAGGGCAGAGTGGGGTAACGCATGCACGCCTGATTGGCTGCTTTCTGTGCAGGAGTGGTGTTACCCAGAGTGGGATGGGTGTTCCCACACCGATTAACAAGACAACCCCCTCCCTGCCCCCATCGGTAATCCAACCTGATTTGGACAATTCTTCAATTAAGACTTTTCCATGGGTGTCAAATTGACAGTTAAAAACTAACCATCCCAGGGTCTGGAGAGATGGCTCAGTGGTTAAGAGCACTGACTGCTCTTCCAGAGGACCCAGGTTCAATTCCCAGCACCCACAGGGCAGCTCACAATTGTCTGTAACTCCAGTTCCAGAGGACCTGACACCCATGGTAAAACACTAATGCACATAAAATAAAAATAAATTGATTAAAAACTAACCATCCCAGATGAGAAGATTAATTTTGCCTCATGGTTTTGGGGGGATTTCACTCCTTCAAACTGGGGAAAGAGTCAGGGAGTTCAGTTAGGAGAGAACAGGCAACAAGGACTCTTTATGTTGTGGTGGGACAGAAGGGGGCCTGAGCCAGCAGCTGTGTGACCCCTAAGATTCCCCACTAGTGACCTGCTCCTACCAGC